CAGTTGAATTTAGGATCCACAGAGATTGTATCAGATGGGAAAATGCCTAGTGCCAGCTCTGTGTATGATGCATTAAGACACATTAGATGAATTTTTTAAATTGTAAGTTTTCAATTTCTTTATTAATAAAAAAAACCCTTTCTATAATGCCTGCCCATGTGATACGATTAGAAGCATTTTTGATATTTTTAATGCTTGTGTCTAGTGAAAAGTAGAGAAAATAAAGGGAAGATAAACATGTTAAGATTCTAGTATCAGAAGTAAAACATTCAAATATTATGTTTTCATTGTTCTTCCAAACGTTCTTTAAAAAGTAAGAAATTCATCGCAAACTTTCTGTAAAAGACATCTATTATGCATTGATACCATGGAGACATTTTTCATTTTGTCACATATTTATCGAATCTTCTAGAATCGTGGGTCTATAAATCTTGCCTTCAAATCTTTCTAAATTTTCCAAATTGCAATGTCAAAAATACTACAGAAAAATTATCCCAACCAATGTAACAGCAAAAAGCCAGAATATTTTTGGAAAAAAAAAAGAGGGGGGAGAGGAAAAAGTGTTAAATTAATTTTATAGAGAAAACTGATGCATATTCTGAGACAATTACATGAGAAATATGCTTACTATGAAAAAATTAAAAACATGATATTTTTAATTAATTACATAGTTAATTTTTTTGTTTGTAAATTACAGTTTATAGCATTATATCTTGTTTATTTTTCAGATTCAAAATATTGTATAATATGTTGACAAAATGAAACTTTGTAATATGACAACGAAAAATAAAAATGTTTTAATGCTATTTTTTAAATATAATTACAATATATTACCATTATTTTAATGAAATTTATTAAAAGTTATGATGTTTTAAAAAAAATCGTCGAAAAATTCTCAGATTTCGGAATTAAAAATTTTATATAGAAACTGACCTTAAAATCACCAAAATGTTGACAAATTGCCAAATTTAGAACCGTTTAAATAAAAAGAATTCACATCCCCAAAAGCGAAAATTGTTTAAGAGCTCTTTAATACAAAAAATGAATTTCGAAATGCTTATGTTTCACTTCTTGCTTAGAAACTCGAATATCCCATCATTTATATTAGAAATAGAAACAAATTAATACCCATGAACCGATTTAAGAGATAACCATATATGTCAGTGAATAGCCAAAAATATTCCTCCAAAATGCTAATTCACACTTAAAATGGCAGTCGTAAAAACAGACAGAAATTTCAGATGATTAAAATTAAGGACCTTCTACTGATTTTGGCCAAAATTAAGGACTTTTAAGGACCGTATGAACCCTGATTATGCAATAAATAGAAATTAACTGTAATTCGACTGAAATTTATTTTAAAAAAGAATTTTTTGGTGATAACATCTGAAATTGGTTTTTCTGGCAACTTAGTTTCACATGATTAAAATGTATATAAAAAATATTTTCTAGAAAGAAAAAGTGCATTTCTCAATTCTCTAATATATATAGATTTAAAATATGCAAAAACAACAACAACACACAATTTTGGAAGCGATTTCGGTCCACAAATTGAGCAGTCAGAGGGTTAAGCAATCCACACCATAAACATCACCTACCTTTTGTCAGCCCCAGTTGCTTTCTTCTCTTTATGAAAAGAAAAAACGTAAAATATGTCTAAAATGTTTATTTATGCATCCCATGTTAAAATTGGCCATGCTTTAAACAAAAATACATGGAATTTGGGTTGATCTTTACATTATGGTAACTTGGCATTTTTTTGGCGACCAACTCTCCTACAGCAACCCTCTATTTTTTTTTCCGCCGCCATTTTGTCTTCACAAAGTAAAGACATGTTTCTTTTCTTTTTATCTACTGAACACTTCTTCCAACAATCTACTAGCCGAATTACACTTATGCTAGAAATTTTATCTAACAAAACTGCTTAATCATGACAAATATTCACTGCAAAATTGGGAAAAAGTGCACAGCTAGAAATTTTATCTGACAAAACTGCTTAATCATGACAAATATTCACTGCAAAATTGGGAAAAAGTGCACAATACCATACTCCTTACGCGTTTTTCAAAATAACACATACATATAAACCATGTACACGCCACGCCGACTTATTTTTTACTTAAAAAAACATCCCAGAATTGCACAAAAATGGCATTGCACACACTCTTCACTATATCCATGTACACTGCTTTTTTCTCATAAATTAGAAAAATTACACGAAAATACATGACAATTTTCTCAATCTTTAAACCCGGTAAAAAGAACATATCAAATTACCTGATCGCGAAAAAGTATTTACCCTTTCCAAATATGAACATTTCCACATATAAAATAAATAAAGTATCCAAAAACTTTTACCTCTAAATCATCTATTACATTATACACGTCACCAACGAATTCATACCGCAACCATTACAAATACTTAGTGTCAGATATTTAAATTATTTCCATGCACGTTTACTTCAACTAAAACGTATACCAAATTCCTACAAACATAAAATTCACAAAATAACTATCATTTAATTAAAATATAATTAAATTCAAAAACACTACTTAAAATATAATGAGCACATACATTAAATTAATAAAAATTACCTTACAATCCTAATTACTTTAAACTAAATCATTGCTAATAACAATTTTCCCAATAATACCAAATTCCTTTACTTCCACCTTACATTTAGAACAATGCATAAAAATAACATCCTCAAATAATTAAAAATACTAACTTACCTAATCTTCTTCAGAATCTTGATTACGTGTCCGATAAACTTTTCTTCTTTCTGTTTCAGGATCTTTAAAATCATACTTATATTTCACAGCAAGGTATAGAACCTTAAAAAAACATTTATTACTACCCTTTTCAATACCACTAAATACCCATTTCGAATTCACTTTAGTTAGGGCCATGGGATCCAAAAATTCACGAACACTGTTTCACACCACACAGAATAAAGCCAAATACAAAATTTCCAGATTTCCCCCCTTTTCCAATTAAAGAACCGTAATTCATCCATTAATATCACATGACATATCCCATGATCTCTCATTTCCCTCACACAAAATAATGCGTAATCGGAACTGAGTACTGCTCACATTATTACCAAAGTCCCAGGTTACCTTTATCGCCTCCAAAATGTCGCCAAACTACCAGTTACCATATTGTAAAGATCAACCGGAATTTGTTTCCATAGCAATTTAAAAGGGTACCATTCCATTTTGAGGGCCGTAAAAAAATTGCAGCGAAAATGTATGCGCAAAAGCGCCAAATCTAGCAAACGCGCCCATTTAACAACGTGCCAAATCTAGCATACGCGTTGATTTCAGATTGCGTAAGTTTGTATGGTTCTATATTTCTTAAGACGACATTGAAATACTAGTTTAATTTTTAAATCCTTTTTTTGATTTTAAATCCTTTTTTGATATCCTATGGATTTAACAATTTGGGAATTGCCCATGACGAAAAGTCGGCAATAGAATTTTGGGTAAAGTGCAGAATCACCCATTGCTTGACGCGTTTCTTAGAATTGCACATACTCGGTATCCATGTGCACATCGACTTATTTTCACTTAAAAAAAAATCCCAGAATTGCACAAAAATGGCACTGCGCACAGCCTTGACTTTATCTATGTACACATCGACCTATTTTCACTTAAAAAATAAGAGAAAATTGAAAAAAATCCAATTGTTTTTACCCTTGTAAAAAGCGGCAAACAAATAAGTCAGCGATTCTGCACTTTACCGAAAATATTTTCAAAGAAAAAGCATGTTTCATTATAGAAAATTACGTTTCAACAACCAACGAGATGAAATTATGCTTTAGCGATAAGTCGGTAGCGAAATAGCGATGCAGGCATCCATTCAGTTATGTTTAGCAATTTTTATATAAATTATAATAATAAAAAAGTATTATATGAAATTAACCTTTCATCTAAATTAAAACATCCATCTTAGATAGTTATTTACTATTATACTTCCTTTCTTGCCGCAGTTATTAGGGTTGCCGCAATTAATTTTGGCAGCATTGGCATCAACAATAGTTTGGCGATTTTTTACGGCCCTCGAAACCGAATAGTACCTTTAAAAGTATCAGCTTGAAAATCTCAAAAAGATAAAATTCAATTACTTTCTTGCCAACCTAAAGGTTCAGTCCGTGGTTCAAATTGCAGCAAATGGGCTAGTTATATCAGCATTTTGTGGCTTTCCTCTTGCATAATGTGCATATGAGCCAGTTTGCCTTAAAAAATCTTCCACAAGGGAATCCCTCCCCATAGGTGAATAGACCTCAAGTGTTTTGTCAGAATCAAATACATTAATATAAAAATAAAATGTGGTATAATACCATAAAAAATACTACTTATATACATCACTTAGGTCAGATTCAGCTTTAACAACAAAAAAAAAAAAAAAAAAAAAAAAAAGATACTTTCTGATTATCCATATCTTCATGACTGTTGGTACAGCAACTTCTTCATGACTGACGATACGAGTAAAAAATTTTTTGGTTATCTTTACAGCTTAAAAGTACTGTTCTATTCATAAATAATAATAAAAAGAAACATTTCCTGAGCAACAGGAAATTTTAATATAAAAAACAAAAATTCACGTGATTGACATTAAGAACTAATAAATATTACTCGGCAAAATGAGTTAAATACAAAGTACATAAATTCATGTGCTCTTAGCATATGCAAGTTACATCCATGCATCAGTTGACTACTGTCTATGCATACATTAAAATAAAGCCCCCCCCCCAAAAAAAAAAAATTGACAGTTTTACTTCATGTTGAAACCAAGATACAGATAATCAGAAAGTACTAAAACTGAATTGTAAGTCCTGCAAAATATGGACAATACACAAAAATGGCAGGACACTAAACTAAAAATTCACTCCTTCAATTTAAAATGCATTTATAAAAGTACCTTTATATACATATTTTCCTTCATATTAACAAATATACCAAAGGCAGTAAATTCACTTATTAAAACAGATATAATGTATGCCTAAATACATGTTTATTCCCTTTAAAATGCATTTCTGTAAACATAATCTATCTTATATGCACATACAAGCATTTCAAAATATAGTAAAACAATTTTTCACCTTAACTTTTACATTAAACAGAGATACAGGCACTTAATTCTTCTTCAAAATATGATATTTTAGGCATTTCATTTTTTTAAAACATTTTCAAGATGTAAAACCCTCTGTCCTGTGAAAACCTTCATAAATGCAATACCATTTCATATTTGAGCCCATACAATATTTTATGAAAATATATCATGTGAAAAGAAAAACACTGAAAATTAATAACAATTCAATTATTTCATTTATATTTATGTTAAATATAATACAAAAACAAATTTTCCAATAAACACATTAAGTTAAATTCACATTTATTATTTAATTAATAAACTACTAAAATAGAATTTAACTTTTCAGTTAATAATAGAATTTAATTAAATAGAATTTAGGTTTTCAGTTTAGCTTCATATGGCACAATCAAATTAGAAGAAAATGATACAATATGATTGACACCACGAACTTCATGATCTAAAAGAGGCAACTTTGTGACATGAAAATCTTCATATAAATCCAAGATCTGATCTAAATACTTTTCTTGAAGTTTGAAACGAGCTGCACACATACAGCATGGTTTCTCTGTTGCATTTGGAAACAATAACTGGTTAACCACAATATTATGTGTATCTATACCACATTTTGTAAGTTCTTGAACTAATCGTTCTGTTTCATACAGAGATAAAAATTCAGCAATACAGACACAAACAAATGTAGTTTGATCTGGATCCCGAAATTGCTCATTCACTTGCCGAATTATGGGCAATATTTCTTCGATTTTTGTTGACATTATATCAGCAGTGAATTCTTGTATTCCAAGAAGAGAAACTATCTGTGATACGAAAGGACTTAACTGTGATTTCAATCTAAGTAACTTCCCCAGACCTTTTTCCACAACTTGAGGAAATGATAATAATCGTAACGTATGACCTGTTGGAGCAGTGTCAAATACAACAACTGAGAAATTCATGCTCTTTACCAATTTCATCACTTCTGCATAACTTACTGCTTCATCAATACCCGGAAAAGCTCCAAGCAATTCCTGTATATTTTTTCCAAGTCTCATGGGATCATCGTCAGAGAAATATTCTTCTGGTAGTTGAGTAGCTCCAAGATTTGGGTCAATTTCCATAGCATATAAGTTGGAAAAGCCCTTCACAAGTGTTGGAACTTTTGAAAATTTTTGATCAAATGCATCCGATATGTTATGAGCCGGATCTGTAGATATAATCAAAACAGATTCACGTACCCAGCTGAACAGCCAAACACGAGCTACATGTCGTTTTTCCAACACCTCCTTTGCCGCCAACAAAAACCCATTTCAAAGATTTTTGGTCTAATATATTTTTCAACGATGGTTCTAACTCAAAAACATCCCCACACTCCATCATTAATTTTACTCTTTCACAGAAAACCTACGCTTACACTCGCAGAATGACGTTACTTTGAAAGTTCAACTTCTGCTTTTGTATAACACGAGGTAGATGTTTTGAAATGTAAATTAATTAACATTTTTATTTATTTAAAATCTTATGATAGAAATGCCCCAAAAAGGAAAAGTACATTTTCATTTTGTTTAAAAGTCTATTCTAGGAAATATATAAAAATAAACTAAATCAACTGTTTTTTTTTTTTAATTTTTATTTTATAATTATTTATATATAATAGTATTGAAAAGCTTTAAATTAAAAATCTTTAACTCTTTTAAATTGAAATTAAAATATCTTAATATTTATGTACAGAAATTTAAGCTGTAAGGTGTTTATCATCTGGGGAGTCTCTTCACAGCTAAGGTTGATTTTTTAACAAGCGTTTACAAAGACTCGACGGCTGCAAAACAAGGCATTTCTCTTTTTTCATTGTCTGTCTGTCTGTATCTGTTGACGGTAGTGATTGTTGCAAATTTGTAATGTTTTTCTGAGTGTTACTTATGACTAGAAATTCTATATGTAAGGGATGAAAAGCTCAGTTTCTAGGCAAATTGGAAGATTTGGGAACGAAGCATCCCGAAGACTATACAGGTAGCGTTTTAGACTTAAGTATCTATCTGCCGTTCTTTCTAGGTATGCTTTTTAAATAATTACACGTGCTACGTGACTTTGATTACGAAATTCTAGTAATCTACATTTTCCCTATCTATAATAAACAGCTCGCTAACATTTTCTTTCCAAAAATTTCATTTTTATCTTTATTTATGGATTAAAATTAAGAAACAGGTACTTCCTTATTAAATATTGTTTTCAGTTTAAGCTCTTTAAATTTGTGAATATGCTGAAGATTTCAGAATTTCTATCTTTTCCACAGATTTAAACTGTTATCAGTTTTGTATATAATGAAATTGTTGCTAAACACGATAATCGCGTATGAACAAATCAGTTGATTTTCTGATTCGGTTATAATGATATTTCATCGCAAATCTGATACTTAAATATTCATGAACTATATATAGATTTACCTAGATATCTGTTTTCAAAATTCTTCGAATATTATGTTATTATTTATTATGTATCGTTGTAAGAATACTTATTTCCTATCTATTTTTCAAAGAAAAAGAAATCTTTATTTACTTTTAAAGAAAATAAATTTGGTATTTACATATTGCTCCATCAACTTTCAAAGTTACAGACTTCTTCCCAAACATTCTGACTGAAGTTTTAAGAAATAGATAACGGCACAGCTTTAGTATTAGTCCTTTTTGGCGAGAAATTTGTTTGGCGACATTTTGGAGCGATAAATGAAAAATTATGGTAACCTTGGTAACCCTAAATACTGAGCTTCAAACATGCCGCCATTTCTGTCCACGTAACTTTAACGAATTTGATAGGTATCAGAGCTTTGATGGCAAGAAAGATAAATTGTGTGTTTTTCTTAAAGTTACTTTTGTGTTAGGAAAGCACAGCATTTAAATTTTTTTTTAAAAAGCCAAATATTTGATAGTTAAAACTGGTGCTTTTAATATTACATCACATGAGTCTTGACATTTTTTCATATGTCAACTCTGCATATTCTAATAAACTCCACCCCCCCCCAAGGAAAAAAAAACACATTTTCAGTAGCATGAGGTAAACTCTTGGTGTTTCCTTTGCTAAGGAGATCAAAATTATCATGGTCTAAAAATACGGTTGATCTTTACAATATGGTAACTGGTAGTTTGGCGACATTTTGGAGGTGATAAAGTTACTACCTGGGACTTTGGTAATAATGTGAGCAGTACTCAGTTCCGATTACGCATTATTTTGTGTGAGGGAAATGAGAGATCATGTGATATTAATGGACGAATTACGGTTCTTTATTCGGAAAAAGGGGGAAATCGGGAAAAAATCTGGAAATTTTGTATTTGGCTTTATTCTGTGTTGTGTGAAACAGTGTTCGTGAATTTTTGGATCCCATGGCTGTAACTAAAGTGAATTCGAAATGGGTATTTATGTAGGTATTAATTTAATGTATGTGCTCTTTATATTTTAAGTAGTGTTTTTGATGAATTAATTATATTTTAATTAATGATATTTATTTGTGAATTTTATGTTTGTAGGAATTTGGTATACGTTTTAGTTGAAGTAAACGTGGATGGAAATAATTTAAATATCTGACACTAAGTATTTGTAATGGTTGCGTATGAATTCGTTGTGACGTGTATAATGTAATAGATGATTTAGAGGTAAAAGTTTTTGGATACTTTATTTATTTATATGTGGAAATGTTCATATTTGGAAAGGGTAAATACTTTTTCGCGATCAGGTAATTTGATATGTTCTTTTTACCGGGTTAAAGATTGAGAAAATTGTCATGTATTTTCGTGTAATTTTTCTAATTATGAGAAAAAAGCAGTGTACATGGATATAGTGAAGAGTGTGTGGCGCAATGCCATTTTTTGTCAATTCTGAGATGTTTCTTTAAGTAAATAATAGTCGGCTGTACATGGTTTATGTGTATGGTTATTTTGAAAAACGCGTAAGGAGTATGGTAATTTTGCACTTTTTCCCAATTTTGCAGTGAATATTTGTCATGATTAAGCAGTTTTGTTAGATAAAATTTCTAGCAAAGTGTAATTCGGCTAGTAGATTTGTGAAGAAGTGTTCAGTAGATAAAAAGAAAAGAAACATGTCTTTAAAAAAAAAAATAGAGGTTGCTGTAGGAGAGTTGGTCGCCAAATTTTCGCCAAAAAAACACCAAGTTACCATAATGTAAAGATCAACCAAAAATACTTATTTACCTCATATTAGAACTAAAGGAAAGTGTAATTGCATGAATTCATAGGTTCAAATCAAGACCAAAATCAGGTTTCATTATTGCTTTTATAACATTTTCATAATTTGTCTGACTATAAAAATATAATGTTGCTTAGATTATGGAATATATTGCTTATAATTTAGAAGTTCTCAAATTTTGTAAATCTTACAACCTAACAGCTGTATGTGAATAACCTTCACTGAGTATTATTACTTTTATTAATAGTATGTTGACATAACAGTTGACTTTTTATTTTAAATTTTTATGCAAATTTTCTACATTACTTAAACATTTTATCTAACAGAAATCTGGAATTTTTTGTAATAAAAAAAACTCTATAATAAAAGTAAGGTACAATTTATATATAAAAAATTTGACGACTACATGGGAAGCACTTAGATACTGATTTCAATGTCTTTAAATGTTTTATCATAAAGTTTAGATATATTCTTATTAAGTTAAGATACACTTTTATTCTATTATAAAGTTTAGATGATACAGAACAGAAGGCACACTTTGTGTTTACGACTCAGGTCAACCACTTGTGGCATGATAACAATTAAGTTCAAATGTAAAATTTAAATTCAAATAAATTGTAGTGCCCAAAGGCTGCACAAATCAATTTAATGCAAAGTTGGTTAAAAACTTAACTGGCATGGAATTCAACTATCAGCAATTATAATGCAAGGGCTGAAGACTACAAATCTTTTCTTATCTAGCAACCTATTAATGGTGGCCTCAAAAGACAAAACACGTTTTGTTTTACAAAATAAAAACTTCATTTGGATTCTGGTGAGAAAACGGATGGAAGAAATTGACAGTAAAGATTCCAAGCATAAAATAACTCTGGTTACAAATAAAAGGAACGTTACAATACTTTGTTTCCCTGATTAATTATTCAGTACAACAAACGAATAGTGTAATGCATTTTTTGTATTTATTTAAATGCTTTCCAAAACTGACAGGATTTTGCAAACATATTGACCATATTTTTCGACCTATAGATGCAACACTTTTTCTCTTCAGAAGTAAGATTTAGAATTAAGAAATAAGAAAATAAGAGAGAATTATGAATAGAAAATAAATACATATGCTGGCTAGCAGAAGAAGGATGCCTTCATAAAGTACTTTTTAAGACAAACTGGCTCAGATTCATATTACATCTACGGAAATCTACTAAAACTCCCATATAGCCAGCCTCAACTACCACTGTTCAGTGGCTATCACTCCACCACTAGTGGATTCCAATGACTGTTCGAATTTTTCACAGAAATTATCATTTACGATGATTGTTGTATTATTACCATTGGTACAAAATTTACTCATTATGATAATTTAATTTTAGCTTTTAAATTATAATCATAAATTACTTGTAATAATTGAGGGATTAAAAATACACACTTCTTAATATTTTTTACCATTTACAAAAATTTAATCATAAAAAGTATTTCTAACACTAGTACAAAACTTTACCCATTGGTATTGGTAATTTTATTTCGATTTACTTCAACTTGAAATACTTTTCTTTATTTATCTTTTAATAACAGCAATCTAAGAAACTAAAGTAACATATACTAGTTTGAAATGCATTTTTTAACCTTTTTGTAAATTTCATTATTCATAAACCATAAAAATTAACCTTTTGTAAATTTAAAATATTAGCTAAGTACTAATATAATAAAATATAAATATGAACTAACTACTTAAAATATTAATGTTTAATACATTATATTTTGTAATTAAAAATATTAACATTTTGTAAATTTCATTACTCATAACATAATAATTGTCATAAATTCATTTACAGTAGTGTTTCAAGAATTTATCATAGCATACTTGAAATATTGAAAATTAGAGAAAGACTGTTTTATTCTGATTAAGAGCTTATTTTTTAGGATTGTTATTTATTCTAGATCGGGTTTTGTTGACAATCCGCCATTTTTTTTCCGATCTTCAAAACCGGGTCTACCGTGGCGACCAAAGTTTGTCGCCAAATAAAAAAATCGCCAAAAGGACCAATACTAAAGCTGTTCCTAGATAACTTTTTATTAAGTTGTAAAATCAACAGTTATAAATTGTAACATAAGATGTAAGCAACATATAAAAAGCTAAAATATGAGCTTAAACTTTGTAATATTAGTAGAACTGTGCTCTTTATTAAGGAAGACGGAAGCACTTCCGCAGAGAACCCTGTAAATGTAAACATCGCCAACTTTGGCGATAATAGTTCAAACCTGGTAACCCATCGGATTTATCCTATTCGCTTGTTAGAAGGTTGCAACCATTCCTCATGTGTTCATTTTGTTGAATTATCACTGTCGTCATTCACATTTGCAGATTTATATTATTTTTCTCTTATTATTATTTTTCTGAATTTTTTAACAACGAATAGATAGAAATATTTCCGTAGATATATGCCGGTTCTCGGTTCGTGATGAAAGGAAGAAAATGCGGCGGGAGGGGTGAATGTTAATTTGTAACTCGGCTGTTCACGTTGTGTTTTTTATTATTAACAGCTTTAGGAACCATGAGGTTTCCAACCTCTAAAATAATTTTTCGTTGGCCGCAAAAATGTCCATGTGCATTTTAAATAATTTAGAAATGCTTTTATGGTTGATCTTTACATTATGGTAACTTGGCGATTTTTTGGCGAAAATTTGGCAACCCAACTCTCCTACAGCAACCCTCTATTTTTTTTTTCCCGCCGCCATTTTTCTTCACGAAGTAAGACATGTTTCTTTTCTTTTTATCTACTGAACTTTCTTCCTTCCAACAATCTACTAACCGAATT